AAAAAAAAATTATGAAATTATTACATGAAGCAAAAACGTGAAAGCAGTAGCAAAAAAACAACCCACAGCTCTTCGTCCGGATTCCGTTCGCTTCGCTTATGTATGCAGTGTGCTATCCATAATGAGTACCATTCAGTAAAACTGCTCCGAGAGATACCCTGCACTCAAAAAATAGTTGCCTAATGCTGGTAAAAAAATCGACATACCATTTTGTTCATGTCAAAATCCTCATCATTGGTCGAACAAAATAAATGGTCTACATCCGCATAGTGTGGATTCGTTACTATAGGTTCTAGGGTAGCGTGCTAAAGTAAGGTGAGGTCAGCACCATTCGAAAAAAAATTTGGGTATACTCACCACAGTTTCATTAGATAGCCAACTCTGAAGTTTGTTCGAAGCGAGTGCATAATACACTATGCATTTCACATAGAGTGTTACGAGAAAACGTCGAAGTTCATGCACTTGCAGCAGATTTACAGCTGAGTTGTCAGTGATTGAGTAACCGTCAATGATGTACTTCCCGGTAACAACCTATAAAATCAGATTGAGGTGACTCTTACAGTTCACTATTTCACAATCAGCTTTTATTTTCAAAAGCAGGATCACAATTTCCTATTAGAACATTCGCAAAATGCACAACCCCCTCTTAATCGCTGAATTATCGCAGAAGCTCATCAAAAAGAAGACTGTCTGCAACAATGCAATGAAAATTAAGGAAATTAGAAAAGACAAATGCGTTCTAAAAAATTGCGGAGCAGTTCGATTCAACCAAATCGATGATCTTGCAAAGAATTTATAACAAAAATTATACCTCCCATGCTAACCAGCGTAAACTCCATGCAGTGTTCAGCGACAAAAATCCGGGTAAGGAGCCAGGAGCACAACAACAGCATCCAGTTCCTTGCGTTTGATCGTCCGAAATGGCTTCGACCTTGAAATTCAAAAGTTTAGGCAAAATATTGAAGTTAACTAGAAGTGCTTTGAAACCACAAAATCCAAAACATTGAATCAAGTGAAGGAATGCTCTTCAAAAGATTAAGATTTCATTCATCGAAAAGTCGGAAAAGCTACCTCTCTTTGATGGCAGTAGGTTCCACGAAATTCAAGCCCACGCAGTTGGAAAGTGACAAAGCCGTTTCCGACTTCGATTATATGTACCAGACAGTTCAGATAAAAGCTGAAACTAATTTTCTTTGTCACACAAATCACGGTGAACAGGTACCCTACCTTGCTAGGATGAAGCAATCACCCGGTTGAACACTCGTTGCCCATCTACCCATTTGCAAATCACCAGCCAAGCTTTTTTGTAAGCTTCTGAAAGTGTCAGAATCACCTATGAACCCCCGAGAAATCAAGTGAGAGACCTCGTAAGATGTTCATAGAAAACTGCATTCAGATTACTGTCATCCAACATTGGTCCGCGATCAATCTGCGAAGCTGCAATAGCCAAGCATCAAAAATTTTACGAAATAGGAATTGTGTCTAACCAAGGGTTGTGTTCGATGCATCGCTGCGCTTTGTGTTGTAGTCTCTCTCCCAAAACTTCACCGGACGGACATAAGACGTAGTAAAGAACGATGAGCCTTGAACAAGCCTGTTTACTGATGAAGTTTGCTAGACAATTGGTTAAGACACCTAGGAATGGATTCAGAGGAGCACTGATGAGACTCGAAACGACCGTCTGCGTCCATATTAGAGCCGAGTGTGGTATGGAAAACGGCTAGAAAGTAATAATAATGCCAATCAAGAAATAGAAGAGTATCAGTATATACCTGGGCAAAAGCATGAAACGCAGACCCCCAACTAATTTGCCATGGAGCCACGTAAGCCATAACAAAGCTCATTTTTAGATAGAGCTCAAGCCATTTAGGATAGAGGACGATGAGCAGGTACAGCACGAGAGGAAATACCGTAGAGGGTGAAATCTGCAAAGGATTGAGCATAGACCTTGAATCCGGCAACAATTTGACCTCACTTCATTGGAAAGTCCAAAGGGTAATCCAGTCTTCCAGTCAAAACGAGTTAGCGTGAATGCAAGAGCCAATGGAACGTAGATCAGCTGCGGATGAGAAAAGCCACCACGCAGGAAGCGGAGCACAATGAGAGGGGCTATGAATCTCGCCCATGGAAGATACCACCCACATTCCGTTAGAACAGCCATAGCCACCAAAGGATAGAGCTGAAAATTCTATTCTTTCAACATATATTTGAGCGCAATACACTCACCAGATTCTTCTCAAGCGCGAGCATCCAAACATGGATGATCTCAAAATTCATGAGTTTAGCTTCTTCGGGGCTTTCATACTGTGTGTACTCTCTTGAGTGAAGGATTGGCTTCGCAATCTGAAGGCAATGCATTAAGGAGGTATTAAAATCTATACCATATGCACCAAAATATAACCTACCAGCTTCCAAGGTGTGTGAGTTCTCAACTGTTCATAGATGTAGTGGTTCAAGATACCAAAAGCGACGCATACGGGAACAATGACAATCTAAAAATGACCGTGGAAAAAATGATGGACGTGCGGTACACTGCTGAGAACTCGTAAAATTGTAAAAAGCTCGAGT